ATAATTTATAATAATGGTAATTAAAATATAATTTCAGTATTATTAGACTGCCCATGGGGATGGTAAATAAAACTATCAATACATTTATTTTATATATTCAGTAGTTTTTATTTAAAAATTATCTTCTTTTAGATTTTATTGAAAGTCATACAAAATGTATATTTTATCAGAACAATTTATACATTATGAAAATAGGTATTTAATATCAATGGTCCTATAGGAGTCTACTGCATTAAATATTTTCTAATTATGTACCTAGTAATAGAAAAAAAAAATGACGATAGTATATAAATTTATGACATAATTTGTCTATTAATAATTATTTTTAGTTAACATTAAGAATTATTTTTTTACAGGTTCGTTGTATGAAACTAGTGCAACATCCTAATGTTGTGAGATTATATGAAGTGATTGATACACACAGTAAATTATATCTCATACTTGAGCTAGCTGACGGTGGAGATTTATATGATTACATTATGAGACATGAAGGAGGATTGTCTGAGCAATTGGCTTGTGAATATTTTGCACAGATTGTACGAGCAATATCATACTGTCACAAACTGCATGTGGTTCATAGAGATTTAAAACCTGAAAATGTTGTATTTTTTGAAAAACAAGGAATTGTGAAACTTACAGATTTTGGGTAAATGTGTTGCTTGTTTTATAATTACTGCATATTGTATATAGTTAAAATATTTTTAAATTAACAAAAACATTTCTTATAGTTTTAGCAATACATTTTGTCCAGGTCAAAAATTAGAAACGTCGTGTKGTTCGTTGGCTTATTCTGCTCCTGAAATTTTGATTGGAAATTCATATAATGCTACTGCTGTTGGTAAGAACAATATATTAGTTTTGTTATCTACTCAAAGTTTTTGTATTTTATTGTGGTTTCTTATACCTGAAGTTCAACATAACATAAGAATTGCTAGATTTTTCTTTAAAATGTAAGGGTTTTAAGTGTCACTAATGGGTGATTGCATCTAAATTTTATTCTCTTCATATTGGATATTATATTATTGTAGTAAAATGTGTAATATTTAAGACTAGATTTTATAAAATACTATTATATTAAAATAATATAATGTAAGTATTTGTTGTAAAAATGGAGTGGGGTGTCAATTAAAATTCAAAATATTTGAACAGCGAAAATAATGATTTTTAAAAGTAAGAAAATCTATTCAATATATTTTTTCCTTAACTTATTAAGTATATAAAAAAAATTACCATCATAATAATATATAATAAAATTAACCGCTCACCAAAATCATAAAATTAAATTTAAATTTTATGTGAAAAATAATAGACTACCCTTTAGATGCATATGTAGTCTAGTTAAACTCTATTTTTGTAGTCATTTCCTATTTTTTAAACTTATTCCAACTAACATTTGCATTTTATGGAATATTATTTGAATAGACTATGCATATAGAGAACCTTAGTTTGAAAAAATGAAGGAGGTGTTTTCATAGGTGTGTTTACAGGGTATCTGGTCACTTCCCCGTCACATGTTTCCCCATATTCACTTCCCCGTCACATGTTTCCCCATATTCACTTCCCCGCATAGGCGCCGCCAGGAATTTTGTCAGGGGGGGAGGGGGGTAAATCATGCATAGTATACTTTGATTTCTAAATAATGTTTAAATTATTTTAGTTWAATACGTAGAAATTTTTTTTCAAATTATATGACGATACAAAGTTATTTTTGTTTTTTTGTCGATACAAAGTTTTTAATAGATAATTATGCAAAAAAATCTTTTCAATACCATAACAAATTTTTTTGAAGCCAGGGGGGTGCWATTGCACCCCCCTCGCGGCGCCGTTGCTTCCCCATCAAATATGTTTCCCTGTACACCATTTTCCCGTCCATATTGTATTTATAATATTTAGTAAGAATAATATAATTAATTTAAAAAAACACAAAACAAGCATTTTATTGTTCTGTTTTTTTTTTTAATTCTGTAATATTCAATCTATATCTATATCTATTAATAATATGTGTAATGTAATTAATTTAAAAAAATACAAAAAGTTTCCTTGAAATATTTTAATGTTGTAGTTCTAAGTTATAAGCGATTCAAATTAAGTACTCATCTAGATCGCATTTATTATATGCAGTCACAATATTTTCTATACGCCTAGCAACTCTTGATATTTTTTCTTTTTAGCTGGAGGTTCCTATCCAGCAATAAATTGATTAATTTTAAYTTCAGTTAAATGTTGTTCATTTTAAGAACCTCAATAAGTCACCATATAGTAGGATGAGACGCAGAATAGAATATGGACGGAGAAATGTAATATGGGGAAATATCTTACAGGGAAAYGTGTGACGGGGAAATGTCAATGAATCATCTGCAGTGGCAGCCTCTAGGGTGCCTGGGGGCACCTGCAATTTTTTAAAGGCGCCTGTCATCCAAGTTTTAAACCTGGTGGTTCACAACTTTTATTTAGAAAAATATGTCATAATGCCACAAAATTAGGATAATATAGTAAGATGAGGACTAATAATATATCAGGAGTTTGGAACAATAAGTTTCAACATTTGATTAGATTTAAACATCCAATATATATATATATATATATATATATATTGAAGCTCTACAGATGATGAACTCCATTACTCCATAACCTCAATGGAGATTTAAAAACTAAACATTGATATTCAAATAAATTGTAAAATTAAGAGGGCGCAA